TTATGCTTTAGCTATCCATGCACAATGCAATCAATCAAGTGAGACTATATACCGCTAAAAGATTGTGTTCTAAACTGGCCCGTTTTACATCGGGTAACCTTTTTACAGAGACTGTCGCGCGACAACAACCTTAAGAAAAATTTTCAATTAGCAGGATGAAATTACAAAATTTAGAATTCTCAATTACTAATTTATTTTATTTTTCCTCAACTATGGGCCTCAAGTATTCTCAAGTGTTTTACTTTTGAATATAGTTTTCCATGAAATACAGATGGTCACCAAAGTGAATTAAAAAATGTGAATGACAGTAAAATAGATAATTTAATGTAATACAATAAAATCAAGGAAAACCTAAAATTTTCATTCTTTTCCCAAACTAATTGTTTCTAATATTGTTGAATGATTTGTCTCATTCATCAATTAAATATAGACAGGTGAAACAATTAACCGAATTTTGAAAAAATGTGAATAATAATAAGAAAGAAATTAAAATTGAGAAGAAAATTGAATTTATCATATTTTTCTTCATACTATTAAAATGATAGGGGCATTCGTAATTTTTTCAGACGTTTTAGCCCTTTAAAAATTGATCAAAGGTCTTACCTGGAAGTAAACAAAGGACCGAATTAAATCCCCATATTCTTTACTGGAGTATGAGCGATGTCTCCACAAGATCTAGCAGATTTCCAACTGAAGAACTAAATATCGCTCTCACTAATCATGTCTAATCGAGCCGGCGAAAAAAATCATAAAAAAAGTTATCATGCGATGTTTCTCCATACACTATATTATCCTCACAACTGAACAATCAAGTGTCCTTATCGTGCTGCAATCTATCACCATTGTGATAAGAAGGCACCCAATAAATTCATGTCAATAACCGGAAAATCGAGAGAAAAAAAACTAATCGACACGCTCTTCCCAATTCGTTCTATTGCGCAATCGATTCTATCGATCATTTCATCAATGAAATAGAACACGACAGGCTCAAGGCATTTATTCATAAAAATAGAAACAACGTTGATCATCTCGGTAAATAGTTTGTCGGTAATTACATTGATCTCTGCCAAATACTCCCGAGGAATGAAATAAAACCTTGCCCGGTTGACTGGTTGGCAGAGGATGTCCCAGTTCTATATCTGAGACACGACCATGAAATTTATGATTACATTTTTCCACAGAACTAGTTTTCCTCATTCTCAAATAAACAAACAAATTTCACAAACCCAAACTAAACTAATAGCCGAAATAGACCGACAGGAATTATTGATATAAACTTTCGTTCCGCACTGCGAAAAATTTCTGAAAATTTTCATTGTATGAATTTTAATTTAGATTCAATGGAGAATGTGCGCTAAAATTCTCGTTAATTCTCTACACTTACGAAAATTCGATTTTTTTTCGGTTGAACGGAAACATTTTTCAATTTTCACGAATCTCGATACCTTAAATGTTTTTTTGAAAATTTCAAAATTCTATAGAACTCGCATATTAATAAGGGGAAAAATAAGTCCAAAAATTTGTCTTAAAAAATTCTTTGCGCTTACGAATTTCGAAATTGTTCGGACAAACAAAAAACATTAAAACTTTATTCAAAACATTATATAATGTGTGTAGA